TCTATGACAGGGCATGGCTAACTAACAGATTGAACCCTTAAACAACCTCTGGGCTGATCTATGACAGGGCATGGCTAACTAACAGATTGAACCCTGAAACGATCTCTGGGCTGATCTAAGTCAGGGCACGGCTAACTCACACATTGAACCCTGAAACAACCTCTGGGCTGATCTATGACAGGGCACGGCTAACTAACAGATTGAACCCTTAAACGATCTCTGGGCTGATCTAAGTCAGGGCACGGCTAACTCACACATTGAAACCTGAAACAACCTCTGGGCTGATCTAAGTCAGGGTATGGCTAACTAACAGATCAAACCCTTAAACGATCTCTGGGCTGATCTAGGTTATTGCAAAACCAACACTACAAAATCGGGCCCTGAAACGACCTCTGTAGATCAGAGCACGGATAATTTACAGATTCAGCCCTGAAACGATGTCTGGTCGAGTCTTTGACTCTGATTGGTCAGTGTCATCTATTACGAGGAATTTAGTCACTCTAAGTGCCCACAGTATCGTATAATTCCCTTTCCTATTTTAAGAATTATTAAAAAAAAAAAATTAGCCAATAGGATACATGCCTTCAAAGTTGACCACTTCCCGGCTCTCATTGCACCCATCCAAATCTCGGTCATTATTGACTGACAACACGAATGTGCAACGAACTCTTCGTGTTGCATAGCAACAGCCAATGACAAGCACGTTTGACCTCCCCAGTATCCAAGATGATAGGTGAGTAGCTTTTGAGTCGCGTCTTCGTGTAGACGATAACACTCGTCCAGTARACCAAGTGCGATGTCGTAAAATTCTCTACAAAAAAGAGAGAGAGAGATATAGAGGATATTACATGGGCGCGCGGAGATACGAAATTTATCTTCGAGTGTTGAAAAGATCTCTCACAAGTGAGCGCAGCGAACGAGTGAGAGATTTTCAACACGAGAAGATAAATTTCGTATCTCCAAGCGCCCATGTAATATTCTGTTTATTATATAGTTATCAATGAAAGTATGTTTTGGCTTTTTCAGGCAATTCTTTCCGTGTATTTTTGGATAGCCATCGCAATGGTGTTATTTTCACACGTGGAAATAACATGTTATTTTCACGTGTGAAGATATCAATTTTTCGAAATAGAGAAAAATAGATATTTCATTGGTAACTATATAATAAATATATATATTTACTGCTCAGTATTACGTCGAGTTTACACTTAGACTGTCTGGACAAGCTGTCCACTCTTTTCCTCTCCATGCTCATGGAAGGTGAATTAGACGAGCACGTTGCGCTAATATACTAGGGGCAATAAATTGGCAAGAAGACTTGTTTCCGTTGCAGATCAAGTCAAGTCTCAAGTTTATTCACACACAATAAATACAATTACAAATTATAATTCACAAAATTAAATTACATATTGTTTTTTTAATACTTGATAAAAAATCTCGGCCTTCCTTACTTGGCATTTCGTTCTAATCCCTCACAAAGATCATCCATCAAGTCATCCTTAGACATCTCCTTCGCAATCGCCTTGAACAACTGCCCAGCTATCAAAGCCTTAGCAAGACTTTCTTCGCCTCGCTCCCACATGAATAAAGCCATCTTGCGACGGTTACACAGCACAGACCAAAGCAGAAGCTCGTGGAACGGTGTTTTGAAACGTAACGTGTGTTCAAGGTTCGAACCACTGGCAGGCGATAAGAGGAAGGCGTTGTAGATATTTAGACTCTGAAATTTTTTGAAAAAATCACAAAGGTATCAGATCGTGGTATTAACTGCAGACCGTTAAGCAACGGAGGCAGGTTGCTGTAGCTCCARTGGAGGCATACACTTCCGAGTGGTTTAACCTCGATAAAGATATTATCAGATCTTGGCGACTATTGAAACTCCAGTCCTTTTGTTGTAGATTTAATGATAAAAACTAGCGATATAAATAACTGACRTTTCAATGTCTCCGAACTSAATTGAGGATAACCCTGAGTTAGTTTGTACATAATCAAGGAACATCGCGGTATTTTACGATGTCGAATTCGGAGAATGTTTATAAGTCATTTTCGTTCTTACACAGCTCTAAATTCATTTAGAAAAATGGTGTATACGTATCTTTACCTGACTTAGAAAGTCTGTCTGGTGTTCGCTGTCGGCAAAATTAAACGTTACATCCAAAAGATGATCCACAATTTTACCCAGATCAGAGTAAACAAAAGAATGTTGAACCTGAAAGTGAAAATATTATGGAGCAATGGAGGTCATGCATCATCCCATGATAGCAGCCATGCTGGATGACAATAACAATAACATCCTTATAATCCAATTCCAGAGAGTAAAGACATTTTCTTGTTCTGCCATCTAACATGGCTGCCGGCACGTGATATGAATATATGATGAATATATGAGTAGCTTGAGTGACATTGTCGAAGTACTTCATGACGTCCGACACTACTACCGTCACCCTACCCCCTCCTCCTCCCCAAAGTCATAATATGATTTTGCTGTATCAAAATGTCATTATTGCATGAGCTTCAGGAATTTGATTAATTATGATTAACAGGCTCAGTCCTGTGTCAACGCAGGACGTTTGAAACCATATTATGCTGTTGAAGTGTATCACGACAACTTAATAATAATAATTATAATAATTTAATCACTTACTTTGCATTTCTCTAACATATATTTAAGAGTGCAACTGACGTCCATGGTCTGACAAACAAAATTAAATAATCCAGTGTAAACTTTATTTATTCATCCTTCCATTCGTCCATTTATTCGTTCGTTCGTTCGTTCGTTCGTTCGTTCG